CACCTGTAGATGACGTCATGTGCGCAGGTAAAGAGCCCACCTGTAGAGCAGTCCTGCCGAACTCGTTCAGAGTATCTGGGTGGACCCGGAGCTCCTCCAGGATCCTCTGCACCTCCTCCGGGTTGCCTTTGGCCGCCGCCGCCGTCAGAGCCTTCCCCGCGTCCATCTGACTCAGGACCATGGTCGCCTCCGTTCCTGCCTGCTGGCGACACCAGAACCGAACCGGGTTACGGAGCCACAGGACGGGCTGCTCGTCAAAGAGCAGGAAGACGCTGCCGGCTACACCTAGCTAACTGCACAGCATCCGGCTAACTGACTCGACTTGTTATACCGGTCAGTCTCAAGCTGGAGCTCTTAGGGGCTCACCTGTCCGCAGGTCATGTTGGCTACAACTAAGAAGAAACCTCAGCACGGGTTTGTCTGAAAGGTCGAGCATGTATTTGTTGTGAAAGGTTCGAGCTGAAGGTTTCCAACGACTAGCATTCATGCTACAAGCTAACGCCGAGCTATTGCGCATACCTTCAGCTTGTAGAGATCCAAAAGCGCCGCCAGGTTCCACAGCCCGCTGTCTCTAAAGCCCGGTTATTCGTAAATACAATTCAAACGAGAAAAGTTTATCAACGTTTAAAAAATACATTTGCGCGCTGAGCTCCAAACAGCGGTGTCCCCCAGTCTACAATTTACAAACATTAGAGTTGGCCTACGCTGACCAATCACAACTCGCACGGAAGGCGTTGTCCTTCCATATATGGCAAAAAGGGCGGGGTTACACCGCTGTTACTATGCGTTGACTGTGGCAACATAGACAGCTGACCAATCAGAGCGCGGAGAGAAGAAAGCGGGCGATTCGTATAGTTGGCGTCTTCAAAGGGAGTTCATTGAGGTTTCATCCTGCGCTCGTGCTCCTCCGGAGGGAGGAAAAAGGCGGGTGCGCGCTTTAATTTAGGCGGAATTCAACACAGTGATGCTGCTGAACAGCAAAGCAATTAACAACGAGTAGCTCCAGGGGAATAACTTTATTTAAATAATGTGGATGTAGAATCACAACACACGCTGAAATCAATCTTCAAACAGGTTCCATAAAACTCTTAAACAGAATAATTACGTTAAAACAGGTGACGTTTTAAGAGTCATTCAGTGCAGAGAAAGTGATTGTTACGCTCTTGTGGAAGGAAGCATCTCTAAAGCCTTATGCATTGGTCCTCAGTTGGTAATCTAAAGAAAACACAGAAAGCCAAAGAAGACATGTCAGTTTGTGCTGCATCATTCAGAATCCAGACACCAACAGCAGTCCTTGTTTACCTCCACTCTGAGTGATGTAGCGCACCCAGGGCAGAGCTTGATATCCACTCTTTTCTATGATCTTCATGTACCGAACCTAAAACCAGAGGTACAACTTGTAACCACCATCAGACCATCATCTCCTACACGACTGTTCAAAGCTGAAACTGGAAGCACAAACGGCGCGCACGTAAACGATGCGTCATACGTTAAACAGTGTTCCTTGAAAGAATACAGGTGCTGGTCATAAAATTACATCATCATGAAAAAGTTGATTTATTTCAGTAATCCCATTCAAAAAGTGAAACTTGTACATTATATTCATTCATCACACACACACTGATATATTTCACGTTTATTTCTTGTTGATGATTATAACTGATAATGAAAACCCCAAATTGAGTCTCTCAGAAAATTGTGAACAGGTTCAATATTGAAGACACCTGGTGTCACACTCTAATCAGCTGATTAACTCCAAACACCTGCAAAGACCTTTAAATGGTCTCAGTCTGGTTCTGCAGCTACACAATCATGGAGAAGACTGCTGACTGGACAGTTGTCTAAAAGACGACCATTGACATCTTGCATAAGGAGGACAAGACACATGAGGTCATTGCTAAAGAGGCTGGCTGTTCATAGAGCTCTGTGTCCAAGCACATTAATAGAGAGGTGAAGGGAAGGAAAAGATTTGGTTAAAAAAAGTGTACAAGCAACAGGGATAACTGCACCTGGAGAGGATGGTGAAACAAAACCCATTCCAAAATGTGGGGGAGATTCACAAAGAGTGGACTGTAACTGGAGCCAGTGCTTCAAGAACCACCACGCTCAGACGTATGCAAGACATGGGTTTCAGCAGTCACATTCCTTGTGTCCAGCCACTCTTGAACAAGAGACAGTGTCAGAAGTGCCTCACCTGGGACTGCTGCTGAGTGGTCCAAAGTTCTGTTCTCTGATGAAAGAACATTTTACATTTCCTTTGGAAATCCAGGTCCCAGAGTCTGGAGGAAGAGGAGAGGCACAGAATCCACGTTGCTTCAGGTCCAGTGTCAAGTTTCCTCAGTCAGTGATGGTTTGGGGCCATGTCCTCTGCTGGTGTTGGTCCACTGTGTTTTCTGAGGTCAAAGGTCAACGCAGCATCTACCAGGAAGTTTTAGAGACTTCCTGCTTCCTGCTGCTGACCAACTTTATGGAGATGCACATTTCATTTTCCAACAGGACTTGGCCCCTGCACACGGTGCCAAAGATCCCAGTACCTGGTTTAAGGACCATGGTGTCCCTGTTCTTAATGTCCAGCAAACTCTCCTGACCTCAACCCCAGAGAAGATCTATGGAGTATTGTGAAGAGGAAGATGATGCACCAGAGCCAACAATTGAGAAGAGCTGAAGGCCACGATCAGAACAACCTGGACTCTCAGAACCTGAGCAGAGACACAGACTGATCCACTCCACGACACGATGCATTGCTGCAGTAATCCAGACAACAGGAGCAACAACCAAGTACTGATGCTGAACATGCTCGTACTTTTCATGTTAGTACTTTTCCTGTTTGTACTTTTCATGTTCGTACTTTAAAGTTGGCCAACTTTTCTAAAACTCATTTTTTTATTGGTCTTAATATTCTAATTTTCTGAGACACTGAATTTGGTGTTTTGTCAGCATTAATCCTAAACATAAAAAAAAAAAAACTTTTGAAATATATCAGTCTGTGAGTAATAAATGAATATAATGTATAAGTTTCACTTTTTGAATGGAATTACAGAAATTAATCAACTTTTTTATGATCATGTAATTTATGACCTCACCTGTAAATCATCCTGATGCATGCTCAGTAATCCAGGTAGAAAGATCTAAAGTTAAATCTGGTCCTCTGGACATTCAGAAAACAAAACAA